AAAGAGAAAGCATTTTTCTCTATTTCATTCTTTCATTTGACTCTCTTGGTACTTTTGCCTCCATTTTCTTTCCCTTGCTTGCATATGAATGGGGACCTCACATTCTGTAAACCAGGGGTCCTCAAGCTATAGCCCGCAGGCCACATGCAAATATAAATATTGTATTTGTTCCCATTTTGTTTTTTTACTTCAAAATAAGATATGTGCAGTGTGCATAGGAATTTGTTCATAGTTTTTTTTTAAACTATAGTCCAGCCCTCCAACGGTCTGAGGGACAGTGAACTGGCCCCCTGTTTAAAAAGTTTGAGGACCCCTGCTGTAAACTATGCTTCCCTCACTGAAATGTAGCTACCTGCTATCCTTTTAACTATGAGAAAATTATTTAATTTCTCTGTGCCTTGATTTCCTCACTTGTAAAATGGCAATAGGCTATTGCCTACACCATAAAGTTGTTGTGAGGTTTAAATGCATTAAGATGTATCAAGCACTTAGCTTAGTACCTGGCTGTATAAAATGCTGAGTGACCAATGATCTAATAATTACTAATAGAATCTATTAATATAGTAATGATTGAGAGCCATATGTTTCATTGCCAAGTGTCAAAATGTTAAACAGGACAGAATTGTGGATTCTTTGGGTGTTTTACTTTTTCTATGAAAATATACTTATAGAATATCTTAAAGATACAAAAGCACTGTTGGGTCAGTCCCCAGAAGACTTCTGAATGTAAGAGAGAATGTCCTAAGAATCCTAGGAATCATATTGAATTTGTTACTTTTATTGGAAAAGGAGGCAACAATATACATATAGTGTTGAGCTGCTTGGTTCTTTTGTATATTGATTTCTCTCATAGTAGAATGGTGCTTTCTTTATCCAATTTGAATGTTCTAACTTATATGACCATCATTAAATCTTATTTATAAATTAATTTCTGGCATGATGAGTATATTTCCTTTTTGAGGTATCATGTTTTTAACCATTTAAAAGGCAACCTCACTCATTTTGAGAATACTGTATTCAAAATAATTTTGAGGGCCATTTTATTTTCTAGTATGTATTTTCAGCAGGTGGCTAATAGTTTTTGACCTGTAGCACCAGCATATAGACCTGAATGTCAGACAGAATATTTTTTTAATTGCATTTTCATCTTGCATAATGAAGCACAGTAATTCTTTTTGAGATTGCCTTGCATATTTTTCCTTGTAGTTATTGATAGAGATGTGTCAGATTGGTAGGAGGAAAGAAAATTATAATGTTATGCATTTAGGTCTTAATAATATTTAAATATATTCAGATCTGTAAATACAAGTATTTTAGCAAATAATGGATCTGATATATTTTCATGTTAAAAGCCATCTTAGGTGCATGATATTAACCTTCCATCTCTGCCATGTCTTTGGGCCATTGCTCTGAAAAATCACATATTTTAATCTATACACACTTTTTTTTCTTAAGAATTTCCATTTTCTCTTGAAATTTATACCACATATTCCATGGCCTATTTTCACACAAACTTTAAGAATTATACATATTCAATAATAATAATAATAATAATAATAGACAAACATGGTAATTGACCATACCTTCGCTACGCCTCCCATTGGCTAATCAGCGTGATATGCAAATTAACTGCTAAAAAAGATGGCGCTTAATTTGCATACATAGGCTCCAAGCGTTGGAGTGAAGCCTGACGCCCCGAAGCCGGCGGAGCAGCAAGGCCTGACGTTTCCGGGCCGGCCGAGCAGCGAGGCCTCATGGCTCTGGGCCGGTGGAGCAGCGAGGCCTGACGTTTCCGGGACCGGGGGAGCAGCGAGGCCTGACGTTTCTGGGACCGGGGGAGCAGCGAGGCCTGACGTTTCTGGGGCCAGCGGAGCAGCGAAGCCTGACGTTTCCAGGGCGGCAGAGCAGCGAGGCCTGACGTTTCCGGGGCCAGCTCCGGCCAGAACTCGGCCAGAGCGAAGGCCTGGGCTCTGGGTGCTGGAGACAAACCGGTGCCAGCAGCCAGGGGAAAGGAAGGCCTATTGCACAAATCTCTTCGTGCAACAGGCCTCTAGTTCAATAGTAATTCTCATTTTTGTGTGTGAAAATAGACCATGACATATACTCTATAAATGATAGAGGTTACTCAGGGCTCCAAGATTAGCAATTTTAGATCATTGTCAACATTTATTTCAAGTTAAGTATTAGCACAAGCTAATACAGTTTATACAACTGTAGTCTTTGCAATAATGTGTCACATAGTTTGTGTATTGAATAACACTTCAATTTAAGCGTAGCTGAATTTTTGAGATGAAGATGTGTATGCAGCTTGATCAAGCCCAAAGTACTCTGAAAATATGACAATGGAAAGAGTTATATTTTCTGTACTGAATATTTTAGAGCTGGCATTTTGCCACTGAACTGTATATGAGGGAGGAATATTGTATGTGCGCTTTGCATTTAAGGCTTAATTTCTGAGGCTGAATTTCAATTTCGTTTATTCCCTTAGGTAATTACTGGTTTTCTAGATGCAAAAGAAGTGTATCATTGGATTTTTTAAAAATGGTTAAACTTGTATTGTAGATATCCTTTCTTTAAATTTAGGCACTAAAAATTCTCACACATCAAAGGAGTGTGTGACTCTCATTTGTGGCTGAAGAGTTAATCATCTCTCAGCAATGCTTTGAAGTTAGTTTTTTTGTCATTTTTCTTTTCTTAACCCAGCATGGGTTCATGAATAAAACTAACCACTCTGATAAGTATAGTGTATTATTGCTTTTGCATATGGCTCTTGCTAATAAAAATTCAAATTCTGGTTAGTTTGCTGGAATCAAATCAATGTATTATATGGCATTCTCTCCCCCCCCCCCTCACCCTGTTATGAAGCCCTCTTACAGAAAATAGGTGGGAAAAACAGCATGGGGTGGAGAGAAAGGACAAGGCAATTCAGGGTTAAATATAGTTTACCCTTGATGCCTATGTTGTGGTTAGTCTGTAACCTGTACAAGGGTTTTTACTTCTCACTGCTCTACAATCCTTAGAATTCTTATTCCTTAGGACTAAATTCCTATTCTTTAGTCAAAGTATATGAATCTGCTGTTTTGTGGGTACGGTAACAATAACAGCAGTGGCAGTAACTTAATTTAACAAAGTATGTATGTATGTATTTTTAAATGCAGCTCTATGAGAATCTATCAGTTGAAGAATAAGGTAAGGTGAAGAATACGTAGGTGCTTGCTAAAACGATTCTGATAGTTGCTAAAATGAAGTCATCCTGCTTAAAAATTACCTACTCTAGCCCTAACCAGTTTGGCTCAGTGGATAGATAGTTGGCCTGCGGACTCGAGGGTCCCAGGTTCGATTCTGGTCAAGGGCATGTACCTTGGTTGCAGGCAAGTACCCAGTGGCGAGTGTGCAGGAGGCAGCTGGATGTTTCTAACTCTCTATCCCTCTCCCTCTCTGTAAAACATTGATAAAATATGTTTCTTAAAAAAAGATTACCTAGTCTGTACATCAAATAGGACTTGGCATTTTAAAAATTAGGATGTTTTCCATTATCATCAACACAGAAAATAATTGTGCCTGGGTGCTTTCTTCCGAAGGTAACATGTGAATTTAGAAACCAGAGAACATGCCAGAATGAGACTGATGATTGCATAAGACATTCCATCCTGGAACCAGATACTAGGCTCCGACTAGGCTCAGCTGGAAAGACTCTTAAAGTACAGCCAGGGGAATACAAATAAGGGGCTAATTTAGCAAATGTGCGTGTACATATCACATTGGGTAGGATCATGATCTCAAGAGTTAGAGATACCAGATTTTAACTGTTTGAAGGCTGGTCACTTTGGGCATATGAATTATTTTCTCTGAGCCTCGCATTTCTTAATTAGAAAATAGGCATCTAATCATATTATTATTATGAGAAATAATTACTAAATACGAAAAAAAATTATAGTGATCAAAAACTGCCAATTTCAGAGCCTTAGAAATCTATCACCATTTATATATTTTGCATATAATGGAATAGATCTGTGGCCAGCAAACCGTGGCTCGCGAGCCACATGAGGCTCTTTGGCCCCTTGAGTGTGGCTCTTCCACAAAATACCACGTGGGGGCGCTCATGTACAGTGCGATTGAAACTTCGTGGCCAGAAGTCGGTATTTTGTGGAAGAGCCACACTCAAGGGGCCAAAGAGCCACATGTGGCTTGTGAGCCGCGGATTGCCGAGCCGCGGTTTGCCGACCACTGGATAGATCATCACACAGGCTCTTACTTGGCCTTAGAATCCTGCTCAACCCAGAACACGAGGAAGTTCCTACTATTCTGGAGAGTTGGCAGTCAATGTGAAACATATTTGTTCTCCCTGAGGTAATGCAACTCTACCTGTCTTCTCTCTTTCTATTTTGCTAACAGTCTCCATAATGCAAATATCTACCCAGTTGTTAAAGAGGGAATGCAGAGATTAGTTATCAATAATCATAGTGTTCAGGCACCATGCTGGGCGCGTTACAGAGATCTGTGTTAAGTAGCTGACCCCAAAATTTATATGTCCAGTTTCATCATCTAACCGAGGCTCCATTCATAAATTTGTTGATCATTTGTTTCCCTAAACTTACTGCTCACTGTTCACTATCCTTCAGCCGCACTGGACTTCTTATATTCCTTGAGCATTCTAAGTTTATTTCTGTCTCCGACTTTTGTTCTTGCTGATCCTATGCCTGGAAGGCTCTGTCCTTTTATTTTATGCATCTTGCTTCTTTTCCTTATTCAAATGTAATTTCTTATTTTATTTATTTTTCTTTATTGATTAAGGTATTACATATTATCCTCCCATCCAGTCATTGCCCCCCCCCCACTCATGCCCTCACCCCCCTGAGGTTTCTCTCTGACAACTGTATTGTCCTCCCATCCAGTCAGTTTCTTATCTCATCATCCTATGATGTTTCTTCAGACCCTTTTCCACATATGTCAAATTATGTTATTTATTTAATTGTTTACTTTTTTACCTCCCAACCCAGATGCAAGCTCGCTGAGAGCAGTGGCCTTGTGTGGCTTGTTCAACGCTGTACTCCAAAGACCTGAAACTGTGCCTGGCTTACCAATCTTCAGAGGTATGATTATTTCCATATTTTTATAGGTGACCAAAGTGAGGCCCAGAGAGGTGTAGTAGCTTGCCCAAGATCATGGGCATTGGAAGTGGCAGAGTTGAGATGTAGACCCAATGCCTGGGCTCTAAAAACCTGTGCAACAATGCAGTTGAAGGTCAGGGACATTGATAGGAGGGCGGGGGCTGTGTTGAGTGCTTGGAACTTCCGTTAAGTCCCTGGGCTGGCAATTATTGTTTCTCTAGCATTGTCAGACAAGAGCTGGTCCTGATTACTTCATACTCTAGTAAACTTGACTTGTCTCCCTTCCTTTTTCCTTTTGACTCGGTGCCCAAGACACCCATGGTTAATATTTTACAAGAATGCATTTGAACCCTCACTGCTTGGGAAAAACAAACACTAGGTTTTAAAGAAGCTCCCAGAGGCCTAGAATTCATGATTTTGAACCCAGATGAAATTTTCCACCTGACTTGGGTTCTTCCTTTTTATATATATGCTGTTTTTTGAGCATTTGTTACTTGACATCACCATTGATTATAGCTACAGCTTTCTTTTGTGAGTTTGTGTTAATAACACAGATGATGCTTTGGTGGTACTTGGTCCCTATTGACTAGAATACTTCTACCTCCATACTTTCCCCATCCCATCCCCCACTCCCCAATACTGCAGTGGGACCATTTTTGTTGTTTTTAGCCAGACACACCACAAAATAAAACAGACAGTTTGTCATGTGTATCATAAAATGTATAAATATGTGTTAACTTTTGGAGGGAAATGAAAAGAAGAAAACCAGGGCAGTTGATTAAAACGGGATAATCAACTGCATAATAAGTCACACCCAGCAGGTTATAGAGGGAGAAGTTATTGGCACTTTTTACTCCAGGACATTGGTGTGCTTCATTGCATTTGACCTTTTAGAAGCTATTGACATCATTTGGGAACTGCCAGTAAGCCTGCCTTAACCAGTTAAAGAGAAGGAATCATAGCATTGTGGAACTGACTTGATTAATTTAAATCCAAACACACACAGTCCTGCCTGGATGCCCTTTGCAATGCCCTTGCACAAAAGGATTTCATTCAGAGGCATTATAACCCACATCCTGCTGTCAGACCCTTTCAGCTCTGTTGGTCCTCTTAGACTGCCGGCAGCATCTTTAACCCTTTTTATGCTTCCTTTTATCGCATGAAAACAATATCTGTGCTTAGATTCACACAAATGCTCTACATTTCACTCCAAGTTCTTTCTTTGTGTCCTAGGGAAAAGGTATTTTAAAGTTCCACTAATGGAGAGACTAAAACGGGAACTTATCTAAAACTGGCTTCTTTAGAAAAGTATATTAGAACTTAATCCAGCGCTTCCTCTGGGAATTGTAATCAAAATTAGAATCATGAAATGTTGAAATAAGTTTTTGGCATTAGAGTAAGCTATCATCTATAATACCTTTGACTTTTAGATTAAAAACATTGAAGGTTTTATAATCCATGTTTAGTTTTGGGAAAACATCAAAGTTAATTGACTTGTGGGTGAGTTCCAAGTAGTATAAGGATACTCTAATCCTGGGTTCTTAAATGAAAGCAAAATTAAAATTATTTAAGGATAAAACTTTGAATAATTTCAGACTATTACAGTCTGAACTGAGTGAAGTACCCACACGTTGGTCACTCTGCTGGGCTTGGTTGCAGAAGAGGGCAAATATTTGTGTGGGAGAAATTTAGAAAGTTGCTACTAGGTGCTTCACATCACATAGAAATGTTAAACTGGAAAGGACCAACACCCTCATTTTAAACAGCAGAAAAGTCTACCCCCCCCCCATACACATTTGATTATTCAAGTTCTTAAAGACCCTTACTTGGCCAACTTCTGCTTCTTCATTACCCAGTTACCACACTCTTCCAGAATACAGATGAAGCCTTTAGGGAAGGTGGTGTAAGCCATCCTCTGATTTCATTCATTAACATTAATTTTAATTACTGTTTTAAGGGCTTGTGATGTGCCAGTACTTCATTCATTATTTTTGTCTTCATAACTACAATGTTAGGTATTGTTCTTCTCTTTTCGAAAATTAGGAACTGGCATTTAGAAAAGTTAGGGATTTTCCCAGAGTATTAGTTACTCTGAGAAAGTGGGCAGGAGCTGAGGAGGCAACCTCTCTAGGATATCATTAGCTAGATACAGGGAAGAGAAAAGGGCAACAACAGGTATTCCTCCCAAGCCTTGTCCGTTGACTTGAAGATGTTATGGCAAATGAGTATGCCATGGGTCAATGGTAAGAGAGAGAGAATTAAGGCAATTTTGGCTTTAATTCTTCATTGGATTAACTGTAAGGGAATATGAGGGCACCTCCTTTCTAGCTGCCATTAGCACTAGATGTCTAGGTGAGGAATGTATTGGAGAATCAGGGAACCTAAGTTCTTTCAAAGACCAAATGAAATAATATAATCTAAAATACTTTGTGAAATGAATATAAATAGGACATAACATTTTTGTTCATTTATTCAATAAGTATTTATCAAAGTGAATGCCAAATGTAAGGTGTGGTGCTATATGGAGAATAAGAAGGAAATATAGACTTTGTCTCTACTTCTCAGAAGGTTAAAATGAGTAGGAAGATAAGATGCATGATAATAAACAGGCAATAGAACGTTTTAAATGCAATTTGTAAGGCAGAGAACACTGGAATTTCCAAGGAAAAGTCCGTTCCTGATGGAAGAGATGGGTCTTAAAGAGTTGGTAGGGCCGAAACCGGTTTGGCTCAGTGGATAGAGCATCGGCCTGCGGACTGAAAGGTCCCAGGTTCGATTCCGGTCAAGGGCATGTACCTGGGTTGCGGACACATCCCCAGTGGGAGATGTGCAGGAGGCAGCTGATCGATGTTTCTCTCTCATCGATGTTTCTAACTCTCTATCCCTCTCCCTTCCTCTCTGTAAGAAATCAATAAAATATATTTAAAAAAAAAAGAGTTGGTAGGGTTTAGATTGGTGGGGAGGAGAGACAGAAGGAATGTGATGGGAGTAATAGGTAGGTATGTGTGGGAATTACAGGAGTTAGAGCAAAGGCCTGGGGGAAGGAAAAGACAGAGACATACTCGTGTATCAAGTTGTCTCATTGGCTGTAGCTCAGGGTGCCCAGAGTGACAAAGATGTGAAATTTTCGCTTGACTCAGTGACCACAGGGGGAGCCTTTGGGGATTTTGGAGTTTCGTGGTAACGTGGTAGGGCAATGGTTGTGAAGCTAATCAAGGACTAAGTGATACATAGAATGATTAAAGGAGCGAGGCACTGCAGTCAGGAGACCAGAGAGTCACGAGATGACGGAGCAGATCTAAGCTGGAGGGGACAGCCTGAGACTGGAACAAAGAGGTGACAGATCAGTGAACTTTGGCCACAGACTGGATTTAAGGGTGATGGAGAGTTAGAACTTTTTGCCACTGGAAGTTCTGTGATACCTTTTCATCAAATTAATATGCATTTGTTTTAATTAACAAATTTAAACCCAAATGCTAATCATAAAATCCCATATACCACTGGTTTTTTTCAGTACTTATATGCTTCACTGGAATTAGGAAACGTGTTGTATCAAGACCAGAGGAGCCAAGAATGTTGTCCATCTGGACTAGAAGTTCAACATAAATTATGAGGCAAAACTAGTTTAGGATGAAGGCTGTTTTGCCTTATCATCAGAAAGGTGATTTGGGAGAGGAAGCAGGCTGGCCACTGACTGGTCAAGACTTTAGAAGTCCTGGCCAAATAACCCCTCAGAGGTATTACTTTAACCCCATTTGCTTCTGAATTGGCACTTGCCAACATGACTTCTCTTTAGTTTAAGAAACCAGTTAAGCTCAGGACCTTGGTGAACCCCAAGTTTCATTTTAAGGATTAAGGTAGCTGCAAGGGAGTTGACGAGATTTATAATACCTTGAGAGTCAAGGGGTATTTCTTTGGGAAATGTGCTATGTCTTTTCTTTCCCTGTGAAAGAATATTTCCACCTTCTAGCTTTTGTTTTCTTTCAGTTTGAGAAACTATAATGTTATTTAGATGTCATTGAAGCCTTGGGATCCACTGGGAAATAGGTAGATTTTCTGAAGTTTAGGACACATACAAGGGGGTAGACAGTTACCCAGGGGAAATAGGTCAGGGCTTGGTGGAGCTGGTGCTGTTACTGGGTAGATTCTGTGCCTGCTCCCAGCGCGGTGCTGTGAGTGGCCTAATGTGGGTATGCACTTCACAACGCCTCTCTGCTGTCCTCAGGAATCCAAGGAAAGGAGGTGGTGACTTTTGTAAGAAGTGTTCCACCTAAGAAAGAGTTTATGATCTCTGAGAAGGTGGTGAGGTTGCACTGATCAGAAAATTTCATTGGAGTGTCAAGAGGAAATAGAACACTGATGAGAACATGACACAGCGAGCTGTTTTTGTAGATGAAGAGGAGAATAAAAACGAAAGGAAGCCTAGAACTAGGAAATGGATATTGGGGAAACGAGGCCCTTGTTTTTTCTAAAGCAAGTCTGGCCACCTGGGGCCGTTTGTCTCACTGACACTTGATTTCTACTCCTGCTGGGGATCTTTCCTATTCCCTTCAGCCTTTGTAGTGGTCAGAGACCTCTTGGTTTGGTCTTATTTTTGGGCAGGTTCTTCTTAAATCAGTACCTTTAAAAGAAAAGCTAACAAACCAGCTTTACTATTGGGCTATTTCTTTATGACCATCCATCTCTGAAAAAGTCGATACACCTGTCTCTTTTTGGTCTATGTTATATAGATAACCTTCGTTTGCTTTACCCATCTTAATTCTGTTTGACAGGTGGATCATCTCCCTAGTAAGTTGTCTGAGACACCTTGAAATAGTCTGGCTAGTATGTTAGGATCTTCTCTGAGAGCAGGTAAATCAGGATTGCAAGTTCAGAACATATTGAAATGAATTTCCATTTTCCAAATTAAATAGTAATTCATATCCATGGTTAAAAAAAACTTAAAAGTTTAAAAATATAAAAATTGGAGGACTCTCTCAATT